CTTTAGACCTGACAAAGTTCAGCAGTGATTTTTCCCTTGTTGACTTATTGCTAATTGCTAGTGTTAAGGTGCTTCCTCACTGGAAAAACACACAGGAACCCTCTGTGCTCCTTCTTGCTGCAGCCCAGCTACCATGGGCTGGCAAGATGAGGATTGTAGGAGGGGGTCATACTGATTGAGGACTTCCTGGGTTTTAATTCCAGTTTTTGTAGATACCTCCTGTTTTTAGCACTACCTAATGCAACATTTCTTTTTTTTTTTTTTTTCCGGTGTGGGCCATATTTCCATTTCAAACTGTTCTGTACCACTTTAAGAGCAGGAAATCACCTTAATTAAATCAAAGTAGAAAAAAAACAAACCACATGAGGAAGTTGATCTAAGTGCACGATGGAGATGAGCCTTGACAACCACGTACGGAACACACCAAAGTTGTTCTCGGTTGCTACCCAACTGCAACCATTTTGTATTTCCCTTCTTCTCCACCCTTGTTGAGTAGGTTGGAAGCTGGAAATTGTGCTTTAGCCCCTGACCCCTCCATCCATTTGAAGACCTGAGTAATTTTTTCTCTTTACTTGCATCTGGTGTGTAATCCTCAACTGTCCCAGGGCCCCTGGTCTCTTCAGGAGGTCTTTGAGAGTCATCTTGTTGGGTGAAGGTGATAGGGCTGGGGAGGGGTTACAATTTTGGCTTGGATGCTCACTGGTGGCAGAACTTCAAGGGTTAACATGCTAGCTGAGTAGTAGGTTGGAAGCTGGAAATTGTGCTTTAGCCCCTGACCCCTCCATCCATTTGAAGACCTGAGTAATTTTTTCTCTTTACTTGCATCTGGTGTGTAATCCTCAACTGTCCCAGGGCCCCTGGTCTCTTCAGGAGGTCTTTGAGAGTCATCTTGTTGGGTGAAGGTGATAGGGCTGGGGAGGGGTTACAATTTTGGCTTGGATGCTCACTGGTGGCAGAACTTCAAGGGTTAACATGCTAGCTGAGTGGGGAGTACTGAGAAATACTTTTTCAAACTTTATACTAAAATGTTTTTATTATCTTATAAAAAAAAAAAAAAAGGGACACCAAAGTTGTTCTCGGTTGCTACCCAACTGCAACCATTTTGTATTTCCCTTCTTCTCCACCCTTGTTGAGTAGGTTGGAAGCTGGAAATTGTGCTTTAGCCCCTGACCCCTCCATCCATTTGAAGACCTGAGTAATTTTTTCTCTTTACTTGCATCTGGTGTGTAATCCTTAACTGTCCCAGGGCCCCTGGTCTCTTCAGGAGGTCTTTGAGAGTCGTCTTGTTGGGTGAAGGTGATAGGGCTGGGGAGGGGTTACAATTTTGGCTTGGATGCTCACTGGTGGCAGAACTTCAAGGGTTAACATGCTAGCTGAGTGGGGAGTACTGAGAAATACTTTTTCAAACCTTATACTAAAATGTTTTTATTATCTTATGAAAAAAAAAAAAGCACTATATCCATATATAGACTTCTGGGATGGTTTTGCTCTTGTTTAGTTTCCAGCTGCGGTGAGCCTCTGATATTGCTGACATTTTTGTAACATGGCTCTGGATTTATTCCGAAATTGCTGTCAGAAGAGGCTGAACTCTGATCCCCTTGTACTTATTTTGCAGAGAGCAACCTCTTCCCCTTGCCAAAACAACGGTGTGTGTGCTGGACTTCCTTGGAAAATTACTTCCTACCTCTGCTTTTTTCTTTTCTTTTCTTTTCTTTTTTTACGCACTCAAGTCCAAATTGCTCAAATTGTTGGTGAATAGGAAGGTCATCTGTGATTGGAGGTAGACTCATACCCTTGTGAAAATGGTATAATGCTCTAGAAATTATAGTTCTAGTATCATTAGGTGAATTCATCTTTAGATCTCCTCTGCTAGCAAGTATTCTCTTAGTCCCTTTTATTTTCATGTTGAAAAGTCCCAAAGCCAGTGTATTTCCATGAAGGGCTATTTTGAGTATAGCACTGTGAAGGAGGAGAGGTTGTTTTCAGTCTGTTTAATCACTTCCGTATTCTTTATCGAGTGATAATACGGAAGGCAGGTATTTTGGGGCAAGAATTTTGCGCAACTTCAAATAAAAATAAGCATATTTTTTTTTCCTGAACTTTCTCTGTTTGATTTCTTACTGGATCAAATGCCAAAGGGTTTTGTTGGGAACAGGGTGGAAGCTGAGAACCTGGAGTTCCCTCTGGTGGCTGAGTGCTGCTGGAAAGCATGATCTATCTTTTTAAAGGAGTGATACTGAATATATTCAATCTGAAGATGAGCAGAATGAAAACTCTATAAATATTCATCTAAAATAGACTTCTGTCTTTCTACAAGACAGCTTTTTGGTACGTAACCATAAAATTTATTGCTGCTCGTTTCAAACTTGACTTTCTGCTTAGAAAAGTGTTGTGTAGCAGAAGGCATCTTTGTAATGAAAGGCTACTATGTTAAAATGAAGAACTGGCTTTTCTCAAAACATATTATATTTTTAAATGTACTGGGTTTTTCTAACCTTTTTAAAAATTGACTGGTTTTGAGGAGTATTCCATTCATGGCACCAAAGGGATGCGTGGATGAGGGCATCGCTGGGATAAAAATTAAATTGCCTGGTTTTTTGTTTGTTTTTTTATGGGTGTGCTGGGGAGAAATGTCCACCACGTGCACCTCTCACCACGTTGTCTTCAACATTTCCCTCTTTGCAAAGGGAAGAGCTTTTCTTGGAGTTGTGATGCATCATTGAAACGGTATCAAGATTTGCTCCCTCTTTTACCTTATTAAAAACTGAGGTTGCATGTTGTTTTCCAAAAATAGAGGACTGAGAGAGGCTGTCTGTGCATTTCTGGAGACGGATTGAGGGATGTGTGTGTGTATATCTACTAATTTTTGGTAACACACCAATATTTACACCGTCACAGCTGTCTCGAAAAACAACAACATAGTGTTTGGTTGGGCTAGAAGGCTGCCAATACACCACTTGGCACTGTCTGCCATGAAAATAAAAATAAAAATAAAAATAAAAATAATAATAATAATAATAATAATAATAGGCTCTTTGCAAAAGTCAGTCCTTCTTGTTTACTGGGTCTGAAGTGAAGTGTCTGCCTTCATTAGTGACCTTCTCTTACTGCATCCAAATTCAGAGATAATTCCCCCTCCTCCCCAAGTACTTTGTGTATTCAACGTCTTTGCAAAGACATTGGTGCTTTGTTTTGGCTTATTTTACTCTAAAAGCCTAAGTCTTACATTTTCTTAGTGCTAATCGTAGGGAATTTGTGGTATGTGTTGTCAGTGTAAAAAAGCTGTTTTGTAATAGGTACCTTTCTGTTCTGGGATATTTTTTTTTCTTAGGATTCCGTAGGTAATATGAATAATAACGAGTGGCATCATCCACACATTGATGTGTGTAATTCAAAGGAAAATACCCAATGCCAAATGTGAACTGATTGGAGAGAGATGTAGTTTTTGAGCATGTTTTCAATTAAACTTATAAAGTTAACCTCAGCTATCCTTGAGCTTCCCCTGAATTGGATCTCCCCTGATTTATTTTTTTTTTCCAGCCATTAAAAAAAACCAGTATTCCCTTTGGCTCTTAGGCTCTTGATCTGGGGAAGCCATTAATATACTAGAAGCCTTTTGGGACATGATCTTGACTGTGGTGGTGCATGTTCCCAGAAGTTAACATCTTCTGGACTTCGTGAGTTCTGCTGAGCTTTTCCTTTCATTTTCTTCTTTTTAAACTGAATTCCATTTTAGATGGAGGTACTTATAAAAAGATTCTGTTGTGAAGTGTGTTTCCACCCCTCTCCCCGTGTAGCAACGTGAATAACGATGAAATACTTGATTTTAAATTTCTGCTCTTGGGACTGTGTATATTTTGTTTGGTTTCAGAGCAGGAAAAAGTTGGTAAGGTGGTTCCTATCAAGGAAAAAAAAAATAATTCTGCTCAGGTTGTATCTGGGTTTTGGTCTATAACTTTGTTTTAAGCATTTAAGCTGTCTATATCCCTGCTAATTTTCTGTACTCCTAATGTCGATTTTGGCTCTGTTTTGTTTCTTCTAGACTAGTTTTGGTGCAGGATCTCTCTTCTGAATTAGTAAATTCCAGTGCAGTACTGAAACCATAAAAGAAGCTGTTTATTTGGACTTTGAACTGGTCCCTGATATTTGACTTATGTCAGGTTTTTGTAGTCTCAGCTTTACTTGAATCTTGGAAGTCACAGTCGCCTTTTGTCTTGAATGGAGTATACTTTTTTAAGTATTTAAGCTTTAAGTATTTAAGCTTTAGATTTCTTTTTTTCTTTTTCTTTTTTTTCCCCCGTTCTTTTGGGAGTTTCTTTTTTTCTTTTTCTTTTTTTCCCCCCATTCTTTTGGGAACAGTGCAGATACAGTACAGTCCTTCAAGTCTGACTTGGACCCTTGTTTTTTGGAATGGGGGAGGATGTGCTGGCAGGCTACAGAGGTAGCCTTTTTTTTTTGATAGGGTCTATAAAAAAAATAACATCAAGAAACTATCTTGGTCTGGAAATCTATCGATCTTTTGATTTAAAAAATTAACCTCTTACTTAAGTGAATTTCTATTTGGGAATTCTATATAGGAAGTTCTAAAGTAAATAGGAGTAAACTGCATATGTCAGCACAGCTGTTGCATAAAGCTGTTTTTATGTCCAGAGAAAAACATCTGGGGCTTGAAGTTCATGCCCATGTAGGTCTTTGTATTCTTGCTTTGTTAACTCTTCATGTTTGATGTAGAATATAGAAAAAAAGCATTCCCCTGCCTTATTTAATAGACTAAATGGCTGGGTTTTTTTAATAAGTATATTCCACTCAATTACAGACTGCTTAGAAATTTGAGGTGAATTTCTCAGCCTTGTGTTCTGAGATGCCAGTGAGCTGGCTGCTTTTTTGAGAGAAGTTACTAATGAAGCCTTCTCCAGATTTAAGAATTCCCTTCCTGATATCTTACTGTCTTTGCTTCTCCTTTATTATATAACTTTTCCTTCTAAATCTTTGTTTTACAGATTGAGGAAAGGCCAGAAAAAGACTTCGAGAAGGTAAGAAGGATCTTCTGAATTATTCTGCCAATAACACCCTTTTTTCATGGTCTTTTTGGTAGGTAGAACTCACACTCCAGAAGTCTTCTAGAAAATTCACTGTGGGGTAAAACTTTGAATTAATGGAGCTTTCTACTACTACTTTTTAACTTTTAAACCTCTGTGCTTATTCAGAGTTTAAGTAGTTGGCCCTCAGTAACAGTTCACTGAAATTGCTTTAGGCTAAGCCTAAACACTGTTTTTGTTTATTAGATTTTAATGATTTTAATGATGGTATTACATACAAATAAATAATAATAAAAAAGAGATGGATGCTGCAGTAGGGAGAATGCAGAACTTGGCTTAATGCAGAACTGTCACTACACTAAACAGTTAATGTGGCCACTGCTGCAGAATTGATAAATAACCATGAAAGGGAGGAGCTTGAGGGATAGTCAAAAGCATCCACAAAATGAATTATTACAAGTTTTGAAAAAATATCTGGCAAGATGATACTAGCCCCTAAAGACTTTGTCTAATTTAGAATTAATAGTTAGAAGCTAAGGCATGCAAACTCCTGTTTCAATTGCCCTTAAATACATCTGATTGGCCTTTTCTTGTTAGTTTTTCATCTTGTGGTTTGATTTTTTTTCTTCCTAGAAAATTACATTTTAATTTAATTTGATTAATTTAGAAATGCAAGGGTTGGCGCAATGTGTGTATTTAAAAAAAGAAAAACAACCCTAAAACTAGAAATATCAAAACCAAAAAAAACCAACCCCAAGAAACCAAACTACAAACCCACAGTGTATCTAGAAAAGAAAATTATAACCATTTTTAACTGTGTGTTATTGTAGGGAGCACGTACTGTTTCAAGTTTATCAGCAGCCACTTTAGCTTCTCTGGGTGGGACTTCTTCCCGAAGAGGCAGTGGAGATACATCTATCTCAGCTGATACAGAGGCATCTATTAGAGAAATTAAGGTAAGAAATACTTAAAACCAGCATAAAATGTTAGGACTCTGTCTCTTAGCTGTGGCTCTTTTGATCAGATTTTTTTATTATGCCTTGCACTTGACAAATTAATAAATTTCAAGTAAGATTACTTGAAAGTAGTGCTGGTGTTCCCATTAGTGGTGATAGAAATTATCAGTAAGAATTGGGACTGACAGGCTAATACTAATTAGGACTGTACCCTGTGTTATTATTAAATAGATTAATATTATCTAAAGGATATTCTTAAATATGATTTAGACTTCTTTCCAAAAAAGAAACTGTCTCGTCACCCCCTTTTTGGCAGTTCTGACAAAACAAATTGGGTGTAAATGAAAAATAAATAGTTTTATTAGAGAGATGCTGCTGGGAAGCTGGTGTGTATTGCAGGAATATTTGGGTGAAGTCCTGTGGCGTATGGTGTCGAATCAGACTGGTCATAACAGACACATCTCATCCCAACCTAAAAAAATAGGAAATGGACCCAATATAGCGCTCTGTTAGGAGGACTGAAATAAGAAGCACTGCACTTACTGGATGCTGATTTGGGGAGAGGGCTGTATTTTGTCATCTAATTTGTGATTTTGTGAAGTCAGACACCTTTGAATAGCAAATAGCTCTGCAATCTCATTGAGTGCTAGTCTGTAGCTAAACTGGGTTTTGTAATCTGTTTTAGGTTTTTTTTTTTTAATGTTCCAATCTAAAGACTATCTTAAAATGTTGGAGGCTTTGGAGCTGGGTCTCCATCTTCTCCTTAACGTTGAAGACTTTAATTTTTTCCATTCAAGAGCAACACAATTAGCATAAACTTCTAAAGAAGAAATGTCATTATCTGGCAAGGCTTCAGGTTAGGACCAGACCGTTCAACCCGTGTGGTAGAAATATTTAAATGAGAATTTTGGGTACCTGCTTGTCCCTCTCAGCTGCTCTTCTGCCCGTTAGTTTCAGTGGCATCCTTCACCTTTCTCACCCTTTCCCTCAGGATATCTATGAGTTAAAGGACCAGATTCAGGATGTAGAAGGCAAATACATGCAGGGACTGAAAGAAATGAAGGTACCGGTTTGCTGCAGACTGGGGGAGTGTGATCATTAACACCAGCTCATTAACTCACCGTTCAGAGAGTGGGGGTGTGAGCCCTAGAACTGACCTTGCATGCTTCCTTCTGGGTGTGAAAAGCGTTTCATTAACTGGAGAAGTCTCTTCTGATCTCCCTTGATTGTGGTGAGAAATGCTTCCCACTGTTAACTGAAAGGCTGCTGATTGCTATTGCATGTTGGCTTTGCTGTTTTGAGAAGGTAATCAATCACTTTGCTAGCAAATTAAAATAAATAATTAGGGTTGTTGGTTTTTTTTTAAATAGTTTCCTAATCTAGGAAGCTTAGCCATATTGGAAGGATTGTGGTGAGAAATGCTTCCCACTGTTAACTGAAAGGCTGCTGATTGCTATTGCATGTTGGCTTTGCTGTTTTGAGAAGGTAATCAATCACTTTGCTAGCAAATTAAAATAAATAATTAGGGTTGTTGGTTTTTTTTTAAATAGTTTCCTAATCTAGGAAACCTAACCATATTGGAAAATGAACTAAAACTCATGACCTACAGTGCTATGAAAAATCAGAATTTAGAAATTTGTATATTTTTATTTCGGTAAGATCCAGCCATACCTCTGGCAGGTTGTGGAGAAGAGGTGGTGACTATCATTTTGGTTGCACATTTAGATCGTAGAAGACACCCTTAAACAATTCTTGTAATGAACCTTCATGTAACAAAGCTCGTTACGTGAAGAATGAACGCTCCCACCAGTTCAGTTGGGACAAAGGAGGTCCTTACCACCTTCATGAAGCCATAAACGAATCTTGGTGCAGCAACTCACTTGTGCATCTGCGTACCACCACCTCATAAGGAAGCAGCAACATGAGCTGCATTTTTTTGGAAAAGGCAGTCTTCCAAATATATATATATATAGACATCCAGGCATAGAACGCAACGTTTATCGGCATAAATTGCTGACTGTGTCATCGGCTCAATGCTGTGACAGGTGAAGATGCTGCCATCTTACGTGATTTGGCCAAGAAGGCCAATGGCATCCTGGGGTGCATCAAGAAGAGTGTCGAAGGAGGAGGCCAATGGCATCTTGGGGGGCATCAGGAAGTGTGTTGAGGGAGGTCATCCTGCCCCTCTGCTCTGCCCTGGGGAGGCCCCATCTGGAGCATTGGGTCCAGTTCTGGGCTCCCCAATTCAAGGACAGGGAACTGCTGGAGAGGGTCCAGCAGAGGGCTACAAAGATGATGAGGGGCCTGGAGCATCTCCCTTATGAGGAGAGGATGAGAACCTTGGGTCTTTGAGGGACAGGACAAGAGGAAATGGGCACAAACTTGAATAGAAGAAGTTCCACCTCAACATGAGGAGGGATTTCCTTACTTTGAAGGTGGCAGAGCCCTGGCAGAGGCTGCCCAGGGAGGTGGTGGAGTCTCCTTCTCTGGAGACATTCCAAACCCACCTGGACAAGTCCATGTGCAACCTGCTCTGGGTGGCCCTGCTTTGGCAGGGGGTTGGACTTGATGATCTCCAGAGGTTCCTTCCCACCCCATGTGATTCTGTGAGTTCTCAATGGAAAAAAAGAGTAGTTTGGCCCTTTTTCTTGCAAACCTAACTGTTTTTTTGTTTTTTCCCCTGATCACTGTGCAGCAGGTGTAGCAAAATAATCACGCTGCATAAAAAATGTAGGTTGTTCTTCAATTTGTGTCCCCTCAGACTGCCTTTTGTGGTGATTTGTACCTGAGCCGCACTGGTTGACGCTAAGAAAGCCCACCATTGCATGCGGAAGGAATGGTGCAGCAGATACCTCAGCTTCTCACTTCCTTATACTTCCTTTCCAGCTCATTTCTGAAGTTTAATTCTACCACTCTTCCCAAACCCTGGCCGCTTTCCTTTGCTTGGTATTTCTCATCCTTGGGCTGGAAAGTGCACCAAAACACAGTTTGTGTTTGGAACTGTACAGATTTGTGTCCTTAAAGGCACATTCTCTCATTTGTCAACAGAAATGTAAACTAAGCTGATTCAAACTTAAATTTTGTCGTTATCTCACCATTACCACCCCGAGTTCCATTGACTGAATGAAAAGGGAAGTATATGAAACCTGCCTGTGCTTTAGATTGCAATTAATAGGACTAAGTTCTGAGAGAAAGTGCTTTATCTGTAAATTAAAGTGTTGACACCAGTGTCCTCCTTGTTTGCATATTTGCACTGTTTCGTTCAAGTAACTAATTTTATTTCTGTCGTAAATACTGCAAAGTTTGACTGCACAATGTGGAAAAGGATCCTGATCTTTATTTTGCCATCATCTGCTTCTATCAATACCTCAGTGTTTTATATTCAGGTCAAGCTGACAGGAGAGGTTTTTGAGCCCCTGGGAATTGCCTCTTGTAGAGTAAATTTGTAAAGAAGGGATTCGATGTAGGAAACTTACTGAAAAATGATGCATCAGATCGCAAGAGCTGCAGCTTTTTCATGGCAAATTGTAATTCCTGAGCCAGTGTATTTAGTGCTTCTCACACTGCAAGGATCTCTGAAGGTAATTCCTGAGCCAGTGTATTTAGTGCTTCTCACACTGCAAGGATCCCTGAAACTTGTGGGAAGTGGCTGTCAAACTGCTTTTAAATTAGGGCTGGAGATCATCTAAAATGATGTGAAATCAGGGCCAGTTTACCTTTAAAAAAAAAAAATTAAAAAAAATTCCAACTTGTCATCTTCAGCAGCTGCTTTGGGCTGCCAACGTGCAGGCAGGGGGGGAGGAGGGAGAAAACTCTGAGAAAGCAGAAGCTGAAGCAGCAGAGAACAAACAGGGAACGTTTTATCTCTCCTGAGGTAAGGTTCCTTACTTGTAAACAGCCGTCTGGTGGGGACACAGGGGAAGTTATCCTCGCCTTGGGACAGCTGGTAAACCTCTCTAGCACATGGTTAGCACTGGTTTCCCTAGGACTACTCAGCATGCTTGTGGTTAGTGCTTCATTTTCTCCTTGAAGGTGTCTTGCTTGGCAAAGTGTCCTCTATAACTGACTCTGACTGTGGTTGCTTCTTCTTTGCAGGACTCTCTAGCCGAAGTTGAAGAGAAATATAAAAAGGCTATGGTGTCCAATGCTCAACTAGACAATGAAAAAACCAATTTCATGTACCAAGTAGATACCCTAAAGGATGCGCTCTTAGAGTTAGAAGAACAGCTGGCAGAATCCAGGCGGCAATATGAAGAAAAAAGTAAAGTATGTATAAAGCTGTGGCATCTTATTTAACAGGGAAAGAAAAGGGGGGAGAGGGGATGTCGCAGAGACCTTTTTGGGGGTGGCAACCAAATTGCTATTCAAGATTTTAAAGAAGTTACCATTTCAGTTACTGTTAAAGCAAGTGGAACAGCAGGATATTATGTGGTTGTGATCATACAAATGGGCATCTTCCCTAAGTTTCTGTCTTAAAAAGCAATTTCTGAAGACGTGAAGAAATATTTTGTGTGGTAAGGCAATATTAATGTTATCCCACGTCCTTTTATATTCCTTCTTTAAAGTAACTTCAGAGGGCTTGTTCAGAGCTGTGCAGTTTATATAGTTAAGGCAGCTACAGGGTTGAGTGTTGAATTAAGTTTTACATGAATTTACCATCTGACAGCTAGTGAGCTGGTGTTAAATACTAAAGCTGTGGCTCGTGTTAGCTCTTCAGAACTGGCTGTTTAGCTTGGATATTTGACTATAGTGTTACTTCAAAACATATAGCTCCTGGAAGATACAGTGTGGGGGGTTTTTTAAAGCACAGAGCATCTAGCTAACTTTTAGTACACAGTTACATGGAAAGAATAGGTTAAATTGTCATCCATTTGTCCGTGAAGTCTGCAGGATTTGAGTGTAAGAGGAAGTGTTTTGGAAAAATTGTAACACAGTTACATGGAAAGAATAGGTTAAATTCTCATCCATTCATCTGTGAAGTCTGCAAGATTTGAGGGTAAGAGGTATTCACTGCCAGCCTGCTGCTCAGCTTGCAACACTGGCTAAATGATGCCTGTCACTTCTATATCGGATGGAATAACAGTGTTTTGGAAAAATTGTCTTCTTGTGGAAATGTGATTAGAGGAATATTCAGGCATTGCACTGCAGTAAGCATTTTCTTTGTGTTTAGGCTTATTTTCTCTTTTTTTTTTTTTTTTCATGGGATGCTACTTTTGACCGATAAATATGTCATTTCATTATTCATAGGAATTTGAGAGGGAGAAGCATGCTCATAGCATATTGCAGTTTCAGTTCATGGAAATCAAAGAGGCTTTGAAGCAAAGAGAAGAAATGCTTGCAGTAAGTAACATTATTTTTTTTAAAATTATTTCTTTGACTGGTGTGTTCCCAGTTAGCAGTAGGAGTGTAGAAGGTGAGGCGTGGAGAATTTTATTCCCTACTCAAGTTTCTCACCTGAAGAAATACTGGTGTTTCAGGCCAAACAGGTTCAGAGCTAATAGAAATAGTACTTTTGTAGGTATTATCTGAAACTGGACTTTTTTTTTTTTTTTCTGCCTTGTCTGTAATATGAAATAAGCTGTGTTTCATACAGCTGTTTGTGGAGAAAAAGGGGAAAACTGATGAAAGTGTCTTAACTTTGTTGCAAGTCATCTTGTGGACAGTAAGATTGTCTCCAGGAGTGTAGGTTTAGTTGAGATGGTAGAAACTGCCTGCAGATACTCTTTAGCACCTGACTTTTTTCATTCTTTGGCATCACTGCAATCTTGACCTTCTCTGTTAACCTCTTACCTGCTTTCTGTCTTCTTGTTTTCCTCCCGTCTCTCAGGAAATCCAACAGCTGCAAAAGAAACAGCAGAACTATGTCAGGGAAATTTCTGATCTTCAGGAGACAATAGAATGGAAAGACAAAAAAATAGGGGTAGGACTTGTCGACTCCTGAAATGTGTTCAGAGTGGCACCCTCATTGTCCAGCTGAATTTGCTTTTTGCAAAACCTCATGAATAAAAATCCTCCTTAGTGACTTTGCTTGGTGTGGCTTGTCTTGCTGTATTACCAGTGAATTAGCAGTAGCATAAAATCCAAGAAAAATGTAGCAGCTGGGTAATTCATTTGCTGTGGTGCACCATTTCTATTTGCCATCTTGAGAAAGGAAGTGCTATTTATAATGCAATTCCATCAGCGCTGAATTTGCGCTGATTCAGATTTAATCTGCAGACTGAGCAGAAACTGGAGTGTGATACAAAAGCAATAGAGCTATTTATGGGCTATTGGGATGAAATTCTCTAACTCTCCTTTGCTTCTAATCCCTTCCCACCAGCTTCTATCGAAGCCAAATGGGCACCTGCTCTTACTTAAAAGCATGTCTTTCTTTTTTAATGATGAGCACTGAAAGACTTTCTGAATATAGATGGAGAAAGAAATCTAGCAACTTGCCTATGGTTGCAATGTCCTATAACTTGTAGGAATTTGAAACTCAAAATTTCCTCATTTTTTTTGTTACTGTTCTATTTGAGTATTTATACAGAAATACTTCAGGGGGTTGAGTAGCAAAATAGGCATTTGCACGTGGTACATCCCGGTCTAAAGGTGACTTATTTTTCAGCTTTTAAATTAATTGATATGTACTGCACCCATAAAGGTAACCCATGGAATAGAAAGACTAGTAAAATCTGCTGGGCCTGCTTTTGTGCCATTAACACATGGGAATTGCATTATGTCTTCAACGTGCACCCTGAAGTAATATGGATATCAATTAACTTGTCTAGCAGGTAACAACAAAAAGTGGATCCTTGTTTACAGGATCCCTAATGAAGGATTGGGCTCTGAATGTCTTTAGTAGGAATGCCTGGTTATCGAATAAGCTGTGCATTTCTTGGATTTGAAGTTTTATCTGTGTGTATGTAAACTGGTCCTTTAATCTGTAAACTCTACCTTTTTCATACGTGCCACTTCCATGAATCTCTGAATATCTTAAATTGGCTCACTTTTCTTTACACTTTGCTTTTCATGCTCTTTACTTGTCTCCCTTCCTCTCTTCACATCTCCTCGCCCTCTGTCTGTGTTGGGAACTCAGGCATTAGAGAGGCAGAAAGATTTCTTTGATTCCATAAGGAGTGAGCGGGATGACCTTAGAGATGAAGTGGTTGTGCTGAAGGAGCAACTGAAGGTACGCAAGAGGAATAAAAGACATTTCTATTCTACTGCTGCCTCTTTCCTCCTGTGCTTTTTTTGCAGGAAATTTGAATCTAGCTTAATAGCAAGAATTGGAGGACTTTGTAGAGTAGGGTAGATGGTTGGACTCGATGATCCCAAGGGTCTCTTCCAACCTCAATGATTCTATGATTCTATGAATTCTATTTTCATGTTGCCTGTAAGTTGCCAATATAAAGTCTTTCTCCCTAATATTCACAGTGAGCCCCTAGTATAGCCTGTAGGATTAAGCAGTTGCTTTTGTAGGAGACACTTCTCTGAGGAACATTTTGCACAGCAGATTTATGTTGGTTTGGTTTTTTGTTAAAAAATAAATAAATAAAAAGCTGGGATGACATACTTTCCCTCATAATGGCTAAACTGTAATATTCTGTGCTCTTCTCTGACTTCCAGCCATTTTTAATGTAAGGATTGAAGCAATTGTTTATTCGGAATGTCAAGGACAAGAAGGCCTGAACTGTCCTCCCCTTTCTGAGCAGCAGGCTCTAAAGCATTTCTTTTGCTTCTCCCCAGAAACATGGAATAATCCCAGACTCTGACGTAGCCACCAACGGGGAGACATCAGACATTCTTGATAATGAAGGCCACTTGGATTCTTCTAAAAATGTTGCAGGCACAACTCAGGCATTAAAGCCAGGAAGCGAGGCGATGCTAGGTAAGTGCTGTATAGCCTTTCACATCTCTCTGTCTGTCTGTCTGTCCATTCCTTCATCTCTGCTTGGAGTTTGGGCGTTTGTTAGTAGGACAATTAACACATCACGCAGCATGCTACTTGTCAAATCACTTCCTATTGCATTTTTCTGCTTAATATTAATTACTACTTCAAGTATGTTGGGCAGTTTCCTGCAAAGGCAGACTTCAGCTCCCATTCAAGGAGTCAAAGGACAAGAATAAAAATCTGACATTACAGATAAGTAGCAATCATTTAGATTACTGTTTAAACCCTGAATTTGAAAATTGTCCCAGAATAATCTTACTGTTGTTGAATATTATTCAGCACGTCTTAAAGAATCAGCAAAAATCTATAAAGAACTTATATGTTGGTTCATTTATATACCTGAGAACTCTTAAGTGTCTGCTGAACAACAGTGCTGGGCACTGTTAAAACACACAAATGGATGAATTCGTTGTTCTTGGTATCTATTGACCCTTACATATTAACACTTCAACATCTGCTGAACAACAGTGCTGGGCACTGTTAAACCACACAAATGGATGAATTTGTTGTTCTTGGTATCTATTGACCATTACATATTAACACTTCCACATTTTTTACTTGCTGTAACAGGATTACCATTGGTAAATTCAAAGAAGATAACTCTGAGGTGGATAGTATTAGGAAGGGGAAATCTGGATGGCAAAAACTTTGCTCTTGCGCAGTTGTGACGAATGGCCTCTCAGAAAACTATTACACTAGTGGAAAGTAAGGAAATAATAGATTTTTTTCTGTTGTTTTTGTTCTAAATGAACATACTAATAAATAGCAACAGGCAGCCGACTATTGCGATGGCAAGCGATTTTGCTTTTAGCTGTTGGCTGCTTTTTCCTCACTCAGTTTTTGTGTGGAAACAATATGGAACACCAAAACCAAGGTAAGGGTGTATTTTTAAATGTAACGTGTTTTCTGTCTCTTCCTATTCTGGTTTTTGGGTTTTGTTTTGTTTGGTTTTTTGGTTTTTGGTTTTTTTTTTATTTGGAAATAGGTACAACATAGACCCAAAAGCTAACTGCTGAAACCACAAACGCTGTTGTAATACCTGTTGCTTCTAAATATAAATTGAAGAAAAACTGTTAGAGACACGTACACAAACACACATCCCTTTGAAGAAAAACTGTTAGAGACACGTACACACACACACACACCCCAGCTGTTGTAATACCTGTTGCTTCTAAATATAAATTGAAGAAAAACTGTTAGAGACACGTACACACACACACACACCCCAAAAACCACAGAAGTCCCCATCCCTTTGGCTGGATGAAGTGGCTGTCAGGGGCACTGAGTGCCTGAGCTTTGGTCTGTGTTGGTAATGTTAAAACAGCTGAACCACTTGCTTGCCAAACAGATTTCACATTCAGTGTTTGGCATCTACACTGATTATGCCTGTTTATGATACTTAGGAGTCAAATATTACAGAATGATCTTTGATCACGTCATTATAATGGCATCAGACACACTTTTGCATGCATAGAGTAGTGTCAGCGTTAAAGTTGGAGATAATATTGCCGAGAGAATAATCTTTACTGTTAGTGTTACATCTGCAAGTGTTACTGTTAAATTGCACTGCTTCAAACAAGTTGTTTCATCTACAAAAGCTGTAATTCACACAGCCGAGAGCATAAATCTCTTACTTTACAAAACACAAGCCAGCACCAGAGACTTGTTGCTTTGAAAGGGTGGTGGTGAATTTCACTGATCAAAAACCCCGGACCCTTACTAATTCAATTGCTGCTTTGCCTCACGTCATTGGCAAAAGCTGATCTTTTCTTAACCTATTCTTTGATTCATTCTCTTTCGGGTTTTTAAGTGGGGAGGTAAGTGCTGTGGTGCGGGCCCTTCAACTTTCTCAATGGTCTTTTAGGCAAAGCCAATGAAGTGGACATGAAAAATGAGATTTTGGAGGATGTGGGGAAAAGAGAAATCTTGCAGAATACTGAGCGTGAGGAACACAAAGAGGAGTCTGAGGAGCAGGAAGTACAGACATTGCATGCTGATGAAAATGCAGAGGCAGAACATATGGTTGAAGAACGTGATGCCCAGTCAACAGCCATGGTACCAGGTAGTAGGTTTACAGAACAAATTCAAAGCCTCACCGAACACGTATCGGGGAGCGCTGCTTCAAATGATGGTTTGAGAAAGGAGACAGAGTCCACAGGCCCAGCAGTCCACCAGCCCGTTAGTACGGAGGCTGAACACCACGACTTAAATGCAAGGACAAATCAGAACTTAGAGGTGGGCTCTCCGCAAGGTCATCAAACTTCTGAGACTCCTCAGGAATTGCCTAGTGTCTTAGGTACAGAGCATGAACTGGAAGAGGCTGCGCCCCAAGGGGAAGAACGAGAGGATCTTACAACTTCCCATGGCCCAAGTAGTAATGAAACAGATCAGGAAGCTGATATTGCAAGTGAGAGCTGTGAGTTGGTTTGTACCCAGGCAGAGCTACCAGAGGTTACGGTAGAAGGTTTGCCTAGAGAAGAGATAAATGGGGAGAGTCATGTTGAGGAACTCCAGCGCTCAGAAGAAGGTGCTGAAAAGGAGGTTACAAATGTCTTGGAGGAAAAGCTTGTTGAAAGCAAAGACTGCACTGATGGCCGAATTGATAAAGCAGGAGGTGATAGAGCTGAAGAAGAAAATGAGGTTGGGGACACAGTTGAGGGTCAGACGAGGGAAACGGAGTCTGTGGGTTTGGAGGGGACAGAGTCATGTGAAAGTGGTGTCCCAGCAGATAAAAGTGAAAAGGAATGTGGAGGCGATGAGGCACACATCCAACCAGTTCCTTCAGAGGACAGTGCTCCAGCACCATCAGAGGAACAAAATATGCAAGATAAAGCTGAACTTGAAAACGCTGTGGCCGAGAAGGACGGGCAGAAGGAAGTATTATTAGAAGAGCTGGAGTTGTGTTCAGATTCTGCAGGAGCAGGCGGGCAAGATAAGGCATCTGTGGAGGCTGTAGGCTGCATGATGGAGGTAGAAGGAAGTGTGCTGCAGCAGGCAGAGCTAGACACAGATGTTGGGAAAGAGGTGACGACTCAGGAAAACAGTTCAGACCCAAGTGTTTTAGATGACAAAATTAAAGAGTCCAAATTGGAAACAGGGGATGAGGCCGGGAAAGGAAAGGAAAGCGGGACAGAACAGGGAGAAGACTTACAGGCAAAGGTGGAAGCTAAAACAGATCAGTGTAGTGAGGAAACAACAAGTGATAAAGTAGGAGAAAAAAATATTAGTTTAGAAGGTGAAGCGCAGAATGTAGTTAAACAAGAGGAAGGTGAATCTAAAGAGGAGGCAACTGTAGATGTTAGTGTAACTGCTGAAAACAAAGTTGATAAAGAAGCACTGGAAGAAAATGAGGAAGGGTTAGAGCTTGCAGGTCACAATGGTGGTGGATTTGCTTCTGAGGAAGCTGCAAATAATTCCCTGGCACAGAAAGATGAGCAGGATGAAAGCGTTAGCGAACAAGTTAAATTGGAGGGCCCAGCAGAGGAAAGACTGGAAGATGATGGTGATGCATTTGATTTTGATGAAGAGTCAAAAAAGATACTAGAAACTGATGAAACCTGTGATGGAGACAAAGCTGATACAGAGAAAGGTGGTGATGATGGAGCAAATGGTGCTGTTGGAAAGGCTGCCCCAACAGACACAGCTGGAGAAAGAACAGGCAAAACAGAAACCAAAGATGCCTTGACTGAAGGTGACAGCTTGGAGCATAAAAAAGGAGACAAACCTGAAGACCCTGGCAGCTTGCAAGGGGAAGCCTCATGGAAAACAGATGAGAAGACTGACGCGACGGAAGATGAAATCAAAGTATCAGATTCTAATGAAGTGGAAAAAATACCGGATGAAGATGTTTCAGAACAGGATTTGGAAAGTGCTGGCAATAACCGGGACGAAAGCAAGGAGGATTTGCAGGGGGGTAGAAGGGGTAAAGGTAAATCCAGGGATGACTGTACAATATCATAAGTTCAAAATCTCAAGACTCCACGAGTTATATGCCATTTGATCAGTCCCGATACGGAAACATGCACTTTGCACAATACATCAGACCTTAAGACTATTATTAAAAGTTTTTTTTTTCTTTCTAGGTAGCTCTCATCATAATACAACGTTATGTAAGTGATAATGATGCAAGTATTAAGTTATTCACTGCTGTACCTAGCCACAAGAAATCATGCGTGGGTTTTGCTGTGTCTCAGGTTTAAAGTTTATCACCAAAAGAGCAAGCTTCACCAATTGACTATTCAGACTTATCTTGCAATTAAAGTACTTTTAGCTTGGGTAACTGCTACTGAGGAATTTCTATAGGAAATTCTCTTTTTCTAGCCTAGATGATAGGTATCTTGAATGTACTTATGTGGATTGGACCTTTGTGTAGTAAGTACAGTAAATACATAAACACTTCATGAAGGAACTCTAGATCAGCAACACTGATCTGATCTTGGAACTTCTTTCTGAATCATTAAAGCTTAGGAACCAATTATTTTTATTTTTTTTTTCTATGGAAAAAAAAAAGATATTTTCATTCCACCTTCTGTGTATTTCTAATATGGTCATATTCCAAAATATAGTTAGAACACTGTGAATGTACTTAGTCTAAACACTTGGGAAGAACAATATACAGTTTAAAGAAAGTGCAACATACAGGTCTTAATTTGGAATAAAGGAATAAATATATACATGTTTACTTCATCTAGGCACCACAACAGGCCTTTTACACCATGTCTCACATGGGGTTGTTTTATTTTTTTTTCTGAAGAAAGTGTCAATACACACTGTAATGTGTGCTTAGGTTTGCTATGAAGTACTGTCTAGCTATGAATATATAAAAGATCTATTTTTCCAAGAGGTTTTTTTTTGTTTTGTTTAAAATTGCATTCCCTTACTGCATTGTTTTTTGCAAACTATGATTCTGAAGGAATGTTTTTATCTCTGAAAAAAAT